TTTCAACACCAGCCGTTAAAACATGAAATGGACAAAGATACCTGTGTGTGTAGTCGCTGCACGAACTCTTCATGTTGTGTCTGTTTTATTTATGTGTATGTTTCTGTTGTGATGTTTGTATATGAGAAGAGAGACCTTGTGATTACAACAAATTTCTATATGAATCAATAAAGAAGTTTTAGTCGTAGTCTTAGTCTTAAATTATTGTAATTAACTTGTAACGGTAAAATATGTAATAAGCAATATATCTCAATAAATTAATTAGATAGAGGGTATGAAATAGAGATAAAGAGAACACTATTTTATAAAATTCTTTAAATGGAAGGATAGGTAAATATTTTAAAGAATAATGTGTACATGTACATGTAAGCTGCTAATATTCTCTCCATCCTTATCATGCTTCCTGTAAACAACTGCTCATCACACAACGCATCAAACTCAAGAACTTGACAACAAAAGATCCATATAATCTGGTCCTTTAATAATGAGTAAATAAAAAATTGTCAATAAGATACAATTGGCAACACAATAAACTTATTAAAAATGGTACACTTTAAATCGCCGTACTGCCGTACAAAACTGCACTACCACTAACTCTTCCTCGAGTCGTACGTTTTACTTAAGGACTCCACCAGGACTGCCTTTATGACCCACTAACAATCTTGGTCTTCTTTCTGTTCTGGACTGATATACCCTGCCTTACACACTCTCTCTGGTCAACGAAAACTTATGATCAAATGACCATAACATGGGTAATATTTATGTGCAAAGTTTATACCAGTTAGTCCTTTGACAATCTACTAAAAAGCTTAATTGTATTACTGGCCTGTGTCACACGTGTCAGCTGATCATAAACAGTTAACACTATCGCGTCGCCAATAGGGTAACAACACAAAAAATGTTCATTCTTTCTTAATTGACAACATTTTCTTCATAATTTAAGTTTCAAAAAAAATTGTCTATTATGATAGTGGTATCTATATTTTTTTCATATTTATAGGTGCATGATTTTTTTTTCTAATCAGGTTTTTATGTTTGTTTTTTAACTAAAACAGCACTTTATATTTGGCAATAGAGATCGGGTTATTGTCATTCTTTCTTGTATTGGTATTTTTGTATTTAATCCAAGTATATTTTTGATGAATAATAAAACTTTTCTTTCGAGTCTAAAGATTAATGACGAATGCAAAATTCTAGGGTGGCTATGCAGCACTAGCTACGAGTTTTGATAAGTACAATTTAACTTTTTTTTCAGAACTTGTCATTGATGTCCAACCAAACGTCATATCAGCGGAGATAACTGCACAACTTGTGATCAACTGTTCTATAACCAACAACCAAGTTCAACATCTGGATGTTATCAGATCTCTAACTCTTTCTAGTTATAATGAAACTTTAAAAGAGTTTTTGGATCTTATAACTTTAGAAGCTAAAACTTTAAATCTCTCACAGCTAGTCCAACTACATCATGCACAAATCAGTTTCGGAAATCTGTATATTAGTTTAACTTTACACAATCCAACTCAGTTTGATGCCAAAGTATACAGATGTAAGGCTGAGGGAGATAAAACAAATGCTGCCAACTCATCTATAGTGGCTAAGAAAGAGGTAGAATATAGAACAAATACGACCGCTTTAATAGAAGAGATACGACGTTTGAAGATACTCGAACAAAACGATCAATGTACCTTAGAGAAAAAAGATCTGACAGCGTCCCATCAAAGTAAGTCAATTCAAAAATTTAAGTTAAAAATGTATAAAGTAGACATTTGTTTAGTCTTCGATTGAAAAACTTATCATCATCATTATCTGTCCCTTGAATTCGTCGTAAGGGCGCTTTGATAGTTCACATAAGCAAATCTCACTTTGTCCGGTCAAGAGCTATTCTTAGTGGGGAATAATAGATGTTTTTTTAAAAGTTCTTCTGGTTGTATAGAGGGTTTAAATTCTATCATTTTCAACATCATCATCAGCTTTCCTTTGCGTTTTTCAAGGAACATAGAACCTCTGTACAAACACGTCACTCTCCAAGTCTTTCGCTAGTATGTTACAGGTTTGGTTCGGCTATTTATGTAAAAGTTATCTTTGTGGAGCTCTACTCTCGCCTCTATTTTATTATACGTATTTTTTTGTATCTAACTTTGTGTTTTTCTTGTAGCGCAACGACTGTAGGTGTTCCTATTTTTATTTTTAATTAAATGTCTGTAAATTTCATCTGAACTGTTTAACATATACTGGCTCTTCATTGTGTTTTGATTACCAAACTAGCTTGAAGAGAGTTAGTAGATCAATAGGTGTATATTTTAACACAGATTTAGCTTTAAGGATACAAAAAACATCCATAAATGAAACCCTGTGGGACAAAGTTATAAAGTCTTTGTGCTTATTGTTTATCTTTTTTAGTTTGCTTTGTAGCTCATTTGGAAAGAAAGAAATGTACTCGTAATTTATTTATTTTTTTGGATAAACTTATGTTTAGTTGTATGTTTTAATAACTTACAATCTGTTATTTTAATAAGAAATTTAAAAAGAAAGAATTTACATTCTTATTCAGAAACCAGACTCCAATTTGTGGAAAGTTCTAAAGTTATCAAAGAACTAATGGAACCTCTAACCTTAACATGTTCCATTCAGGTAAAACTTTATATTTGTTTACACTTTGTTTTAAAGGTTAATTTCATTTCATTTCAGAACGCAAACAATTTGGATGAAAGATTTCCGTCTTTCAATTCTTCTATCACATATTCACTAGAGATTGCTTTGCTAGTTTAGTTTTAAAGAAACCTACAAGTAGAGAAACTTTAAATCATTTAAGTCAGGTGTAGCGGCTCTAAGGGCTGTCAAGTCAGGTGTAGCGGCTCTAAGGGCTGTCAAGTCAGGTGTAGCGGCTCTAAGGGGTGTCAAGTCGAATCGAATCGTTATTAAACGTTATAAGTAGTTAGCATCGCGTTGCTCATAATTATAATGATCATTAAGTTATATGTACTGTAAAGACACTTTTGTAAACAAATCTTTGTTTTTCGTTAAATAAATACACAACTTTAATCATTTTCAATGTAAAAATATTTTCACGCAATGTTTGAAGAATAAAGTTTAAAAAAAATGAATGTGTTTCCACAGAATCTGGATCATAATTCAACAGTTCAATTTATGTATATTCTTCATGGTAAAGTAACATAAAAATATAATTATATATAATTTCATTATAATGTCTATTTGACAATACATAGATTTAGGAGAATTATGAACATCTTCTCTGGTTTGACATAAAAAGTTCCCCTTTCAGCATTTGTGGTTAATATGGTAGAAGATGTTAAGGTCATCTGTTTCTTTGGCCCATGGTTTACGAGGGTTTTATGTGGCCAGCTTAACAACCACCTTTACTTTCCCGAACTTTAATCTGTATTAGAGTTGGATGAATACTGAGGCACCCTAAGATTTAGAAAGAAAAATATCTTTCTTCACCAGGATTTGAACCCGAGATTACAGTTTGCTCAGTTTTGATTTCATAGGAGTCGTTCTGTATTTGGAAATGTAAATGTGTGAATGTGTTAGGATCTAATCCATTCATTGTACATTTACATTAAATTTATGAAGGCTGACAATCCCTAAAATAATTGATACACTTTGTGTACTTCCCTTACATAATACCCTAAAGAAAAAAAACAACTAAATATGCATATAAGTAACCATTCCGGGCTAATTAAAAACAATTAACATTTTGGCCATAAGACCTTCATCAGGTACAAAACAAACAAAATCAAATAACAGACTTAAGCTAACTTATCTGTCCAATGTTGTGTTATATCGAGTCAAAAATAAAAAAAACAACTCTTGCCTACAGCAGCGCAGAAAATTGGCAAGGGCGGCGATGTCTATAAAAAGGGAATAGGAAAGAGTGTTAGTTCCTATGACATTTTGCTGGCCACACCCTCGAGACCCAAACGTCTTTTGTTTTTAGTTGGTCCGTCGTTGGATGTAAACAAAAAAAAGTTCTACATGTTTTAAACGTTCCTTCAAAGTTAAAGATAATTTACTCCTTTTCAAAATCTCCTGCAGAACGAAGAGGGATGGCAGCGGGCAGGGTTTGAATCTGGGATCATTTATATGTTTGAACGAAGGTCCAGCGCACAAACAGCCCGACCATCCAGCCCTTTAATTGTTTAGTTAGAAAACAAGAAAAAGTACATTTTAATGAGTTTTCAGACACTACTTTAACAGCATAAAACATTCAATTTCTGGCCGAAAAATAAAACATTTTGTTACAAACTGGAATCAAAGCTTTAATTTAAAAAATCTGTGCCAGGCGTAAAATACAAAGGTGGAATTTTTATAGTTACACCTTTCATTAATATCATTTCATACTTATATTACTGGTCAGATTGGTAAACTATAAAAGCACTTACAAAGTCAAAGATAATTAAGAATAACAAAGTAATTGCTTTTCTTTTTTTATTGCTTTAAAATTCATTTGTTATTATAACATATACTATTATAGATAATTATTATGTTAATTGAAACACTAATTTACAACATTTTGAAATAGCATTGTACATTTTGAAATGTCATTGTTTCACAGAGCCAAATGGTGTCATTGCTACTATAGATAAAGCTCAACCAGTTGTCACAACCAAACAAATAAGTAATTTTAACATGGCTAATGGGAAACTTTCTGATACCAAATTACAAGCATCATATATTGAACTTTCATGGAGCTATATAAAGTCCTCAGAGTCTGGAAAATATTTTTGTGGAGCTCATGTCATGGAACCTGATGGAAGATATGAACGGTTAAATGAGGTGTTAGCAATTACTGTTTCAAATCCAACATTTAATGATTTGGTCAATGTTATACCGAAACTTTTAAGACAGGCTGACATACAGAAGAAAAATGTACTAGATAATAAAAATAATATATATCACATCAAAGAAGATATCAATACTAAACAACAAAATATCAAAAGCATAAAAGATGGATTAGACACTAACAGTCAAAACATCAAAAGCATAAAAGATGGATTGGACTCTAACAGTCAAAATATTAACATCATTAAAGACGACCTAGAAACTAGCAGGCGAAACATTAAAATCTACACAAATGATTTGAATGTTAACAAACAAAGCATTGCAAGCCATAATGAAGAATTGAATACTCTCAGACAAATTGTAGACAGGCTAAAAGATGACTTAAGAACCAACAAACAAAGTCTACAAAGCATCATAGATGAAGTAAATACTAATAAAGACAATATCAATCAGTTGAAAGAAAATTTGGAATCAAACAAACAGAAGATACAAAACATGACAGATGACGTCAGTACTAATAGACATAACATATTGAACATAAATAAAGGTTTGAATACCAGCCAACAAAGTTTAAGTACGTTAGAAGCGGTTCCAGTGAAACAATTAACAAATCTGTCAACTGCTTTGACACAAATAAAGGAAAAGATTGAGAAAGGTAAAGGGTTATTATTATTATTATTATTATTTTCAAAAATTGACTTTTTTTTTTTAAAACATATTGAGTCACAAACTGATTAACCGATTCTCCATATGGTGAGCGTGACCGTTAGGTGGGCACAATGTGCTGACTAACAAGATGAGTGCAGGGTCGGAAGAGCCATATGGAAATTCAGGCTATTGCCTGTTGGGCACATGGATGCCACTAAAATTGTATTGTAAAATATGTCATAATATCCTTTTATAAAAAAGCACTCGGAGCGTCTTTACAGAATCTAATTAGTGCTTCTAACCTAACGCATATTCCGACATAATGTAATAGACTACATCTACTACAGTTTTTTTTAAATAGGCCTAGACACTAATCGATTAATAAGCAATATAAGGATTATATTTCTTATAAAGATATAAAATAAACGTTGGTGTGAATATATTCGGATGAATCCCTATAGAAGGAAATCACAATTCTTCCAGTGATATAGTTGGAATGTCCAATTAAATACGAATTGTTTTGGTATGGCTGAGTTATTGCATGATTTTATAATCTTCACAATTACACAATTATTATCTTGAGCTGTGTAATAATGTCACCAAATATTATTTTAAGTCAATATTCATTAGAATAAAAAAAAAGCAAAAAGGAAGACCAGAACACACAAGTGAAATAAGCAAATTTTTGCTAAAACAAATTGCCAAAGAAAAGTTATGAAATTATAAATCTTTGTCCCCGCAAGCACGAGATATTTGAAAACCGTTGTTAGATCTCATGCTGACAGCGTCCATGAATGAACAAGCACAGCGTCTTTTATTCCTGGAAAGCCATGTTATACCGATTAAACAATTTCAAAGTAGCATTCAACTGGATTAGCCAATGGAGAATTAAACTCAATTCTCTGCCATCGCCTTGTTTTGTATCTGAAAGTAATATCGATGTTTGTGTAACGAATTTTTTTTCGGAATCATTAGTTACTTCAAATCAAACTAAATAACCTATTGTTGATAAAGAGGTTTAAGAAATACATTACAATATTTTAGTAAGAGATTAAGTACTTTTTTTTTTTAATTAATTTTTGTATATTTAAAAAGCGATTCACATAAAAAAAAATGAAAGTAGCTAATGTACACGAACTTTTCAAGATCTAAACTATTATTAAATCTAATCTAGTTTTCGCAGTCTTAACATTATGAAAGGGCTGATGGAAGGTCGCACAGACCACACATAATGTATTGCGGATCTCATTTCGGGGTCACTAGATTTTTTTTTTTTTAAACATTTTTGTTACTTTTCCTTTTTTATGCTCTGATTATGTAATATTTCATTGTTTTTAAACAGGACCACCAAAACCTTGCCGTGAAATCAACAGCTTCCAAGAACGAGTAATTGTAACGTTTAAGTCCGGGTTAGAGGTCATGTGTGACACCAAGACAGACGGCGGTGGATGGATCATCTTTCAGAGAAGAATCAACGGAAAAGTAGATTTCTATAGAGGCTGGAAGGAGTATCGTGACGGCTTTGGAGATTACAACATTGGGGAATTTTATCTGGGAAATGAAAATATTTTTAACTTAACTTCTACTGGACAATATGATTTAAGAATAGATTTAGAATATAACGACACAAGATATTTTGCGCAATACGAAAACTTTAAAGTATTGAGTGAGACTGAGAAATATAAACTACAGATAGGAAAATATTCAGGGAATGCTGGAGATAGTTTATCTTTTCATAACAACATGTTCTTTAGTACTTTTGATGTAGATAACGATATAAACAGTGACTCAAACTGTGCAGAATATTATTCAGCTGCCTGGTGGTATAGAGATTGTTATTATTCTAATCTAAATGGTCGATGGGGACGTACATCATACAAGAGAATGAACTGGGCTGACTTAACTGGATGGACTAACATTGTTACTTTTACCGAGATGAAAATAAGAGAAAGAGAGAAAAACTATTTTCATTATGAAGAGCAAAGCTTATCAACAAAGAAGTAGTTAGATATTTTTAAAAAAATCAACATATTGATAGTGTTTTGAATGGCGCGTGTTTCATTTGCAATTTCCTAACTATTTAAAAAGAAACATTTTTTTTTTCTTATAGAAATAGAAAGTTATACGATACATATAGAGATATAAATGCAAAGTAATTTTAAATATATGATAATAAAATGTAGTCGACTTTTCTAGTATCTCAAGTGGATAATTATAAAAAAAAGATTAGTTAATTAAATCTTTTAGGAATATTGTATTAATTTTAATGTTAAGCCTTTCTATTTTGCAGTTTAGAGTCTCAAAACCATATATCTAAATGTTATTTTGAACACAACACAGATATTGATACATTTTACTGGCAGTAAATTCTAAACAATTTAATAAAAAAATGAATTTATGTGTATAATAAAATATATAATGAACAATAATATGATGGTATAAAAAATATCACGGGACATTCTGCCTTCCTCACTAATCTTCTCCCTCTAAGTCAAGCCTTATTATTATTAACCCTTACCCTAATTTTATACAATAAATGTATTATAGAGATAACAATTATATAATATTATCAATTATCTATTAACTGCGATGCTTATTACAATTAAGGTGCAGAGTTTGTAAATAAAATATGACTAAGGATCGGCAAATCTTTATAAATATTACAATAGTTCTAAATTAAATGTTATTATTTATGTCGAATAAAATTCATTGTATGTTGTTTTTTTTAATTGTGTACGACTTTTAAAGTTTGAGACAAAATTACTAGACTGTTAATTATAATTAAATTCAATAGCCACAAAATTAATTGTAAAAGTAGGAAAGTATGCCTCAAAATAACAATAAAGTACTTCAATTAATCAACTAACAAAATGGAGACAGACTTTAATAAGAGTAGTTTCTTCTTAATATCCTAGGGTTGTAGTCAGTGTATCAGGTGGAACACATAAATACATTAAACATCGTATAAACCTAGTGCGTCGGAAATGTCACGCCTTTAACCATATTGGAAATCAGAAATAACTTAAACTTTAATGTCAAGTCAAAAATAACAACAACACTGAGAACAACTGAATCGACAATACAAGTACAAACCTTCATCAAGAGATGTCTGAAAAATATCTTAATACACTGGTAGACAAACTAGAAAACACCAGACTGTGGGAGGTGGGTGGACAGAGAAATTTAAAGGTGCAGATACTAGAAAGAAAGTAGAGATAAACTGGTAACACCATTAAAAAAATACCAACAACAGAGCTAGACAGTGAAACCCCTCGGCGCCAGACGATGAGAAAGACAAAAATTAACGTGACAGTGTACTAGATGAAAAGTCAGAAAAGAGCTGGGAAAACATTAAAAAATAAGAAGTGATGGTGGATAGTGGTGTGATTGTTTTTATTTTGAGACCCTATGTTCCATGAGAAACGCAATGGAAATATTATGATGATGATACAGCTTAGCAGAATGGAGATCTGATATTGCATTAATACATAATACCAAATTAACAATGAATACCCAATATAAACTTTAAGTGATCATATTTTTTGATTAAACTTTTTAAATCAGTCTGCCAGAAAATTAGATAAAATCTGTAAGATTAAACAAAGACTTGTGGTACACCAAAGCGTTTGTACATTTGTTCACATAAAAAAAGAAACAAATATAGATAACTCTGTCTGAACCAAAACCACTTCATATAAATTGAACTATCTCCCTTTTAATATATTTTGAAGATCCTAATTATAAGTTGTTGTTTTTTAAGGTGTGAATATACATTAAAAAAAATAACGTAAAAATACTTTTAAAAAACATAAAAAGCTCAATATATTAAGTGCAATAGTATCAATTAGTTCCGACCAGTCGTAAAGATAAAATAAATCTTTTCGATTAGAAATATTGTTACCAATTGATTAGTTTATCTTTTTACTTTCTCAATGCGCTAGGAGACTCTCGTTTGTCCTGTGACTAGTTCGGTAATGGGGAGGGAAGAAGAAGGTAAAATAATAATTTTATTTTAAAAGCTCTGTTATAAACCAAATGTAGGCTCAAGGCGTTGTGATAACATTACAAACACAAACATGAGAGCTAACACAACAAACTAATCTAAACAAGTTTTAAAAAGTTAGGTGTTAATGTACTTTTTGAAGCTAGTGTAGCATATGCTCCGTCTAAGATTCATGAGGAGTGAGTTTCAAAACCTTTGGTCCGTGCACTGAGAAACGTGGCACCACAATAAGCGTTGAGTCCATTGAGCGCAGGGCTGGCAGAGCATGTTGAGTGATAAGTTTGGTAAGGTATAAGGCCCTTTCATTACACTGATGAGAAAAGTTTGGCCACCCATGTAGTAGATTTTTGCTTTCATGGGAAGCCAATGTAGCGTGCGCAAGAGCGTAGTAGCACAGTCTCTTGTTTTTCTAAGAACTATTCGTTCGGCGTCGTTCTGATGTGAATACGTTGCAGCTTGACTATTTTGTCATCAGGTCTACCTGCTAGCACAGCGTTACAATAGTTAAGGCGGGAGAGTATAAATGTCAGAGCTAGCTTTTTTGTTTACTCCGTTGTTTAATAAAGTCAGATCTGACCTAATCCTCGCAGGTAAACATTAGAGCTGGGTGGACTCAGAGACCCCCGAAGATACCGAAATTAAAAATCCCAGTCTTCATCAGGATTCGAACCCCTGTCTCCGGTATGGAAGCCAAGCGCTTTATCGCTCAGCCACCGCGCCTTCTATGGTGATTGTACTTGATAAGAATTCATTGGTTTTGTCACTGTTGTTTAGAGAGCCTGTGAACAA